TCATAGGTACACGTCAACTATGACAGACAAAATGAGATTTTTTTTCTCCAGAAAATCACATTGTAGGATTTTTTATGAATTTATTTGCAAATTATGGTGGAAAATAAGTATTTGGTCAATAACAAAAGTTTCTCAATACTTTGTTATATACCCTTTGTTGGCAATGACACAGGTCAAACATTTTCTGTAAGTCTTCACAAGGTTCTCACACACTGTTGCTGGTATTTTGGCCCAATCCTCCATGCAGATCTCCTCTAGAGCAGTGATGTTTTGGGGCTGTCGCTGGGCAACACAGACTTTCAACTCCCTCCAAAGACTTTCTATGGGGTTGAGATCTGGAGACTGGCTAGGCCACTCCAGGACCTTGAAATGCTTCTTACGAAGCCACTCCTTCGTTGCCCGGGCGGTGTGTTTGGGATCATTGTCATGCTGAAAGACCCAGCCACGTTTCATCTTCAATGCCCTTGCTGATGGAAGGAGGTTTTCACTCAAAATCTCACGATACATGGCCCCATTCATTCTTTCCTTTACATGGATCAGTCGTCCTGGTCCCTTTGCAGAAAAACAGCCCCAAAGCATGATGTTTCCACCCCCATGCTTCACAGTAGGTATGGTGTTCTTTGGATGCAACTCAGCATTCTTTGACCTCCAAACACGACGAGTTGAGTTTTTACCAAAAAGTTCTATTTTGGTTTTATCTGACCATATGACATTCTCCCAATCCTCTTCTGGATCATCCGAATGCACTCTAGCAAACTTCAGACGGGCCTGGACATGTACTGGCTTAAGCAGGGGGACACGTCTGGCACTGCAGGATCTGAATCCCTGGCGGCGTAGTGTGTTACTGATGGTAGGCTTTGTTACTTTGGTCCCAGCTCTCTGCAGGTCATTCACTAGGTCCCCTCGTGTGGTTCTGGGATTTTTGCTCACCCAACGGGGTGAGATCTTGCGTGGAGCCCCAGATCGAGGGAGATTATCAGTATGTCTTCCATTTCCTAATAATTGCTCCCACAGTTGATTTCTTCAAACCAAGCTGCTTACCTATTGCAGATTCAGTCTTCCCAGCCTGGTGCAGGTCTACAATTTTGTTTCTGGTGTCCTTTGACAGCTCTTTGGTCTTGGCCATAGTGGAGTTTGGAGTGTGACTGTTTGAGGTTGTGGACAGGTGTCTTTTATACTGATAACAAGTTCAAACAGGTGCCATTAATACAGGTAACGAGTGGAGGACAGAGGAGCCTCTTAAAGAAGAAGTTACAGGTCTGTGAGAGCCAGAAATCTTGCTTGTTTGTAGGTGACCAAATACTTATTTTCCACCATAATTTGCAAATAAATTCATTAAAAATCCTACAATGTGATTTTCTGAGAAAAAAAAATCTCAATTTGTCTGTCATAGTTGACGTGTACCTATGATGAACATTACAGGCCTCTCTCATCTTTTTAAGTGGGCGAACTTGCACAATTGGTGGCTGACTAAATACTTTTTTTCCCCACTGTACCCCAAGAGACTTGCAGCTGTAATTGCTGCAAAAGGTGGCTCTACAAAGTATTGACTTTGGGGGGGTGAATAGTTATGCACGCTCAAGTTTTCTGTTTTTTTTTCTCTTATTTCTTGTTTGTTTCACAAAAAAAAAGTATTTTGCATCTTCAAAGTGGTAGGCATGTTGTGTAAATCAAATGATTAAAAATCAATTTTAATTCCAGGTTGTAAGGCAACAAAATAGGAAAAATGCCAAGGGGGGTGAATACTTTCGCAAGCCACTGTAGCTCAGTGTAGTTGAGATCAATGGGAGAGATCAGACACACCAAATAACCTTTTGGAAGAATACTGTAGACAATAGAGATTGATTGGAGGGCTGACTTCCACTGAGCCCTTCTTCTCTGTCACTCTCACTGTCTCCTCCTATCTCACGGGTCCTTTGTAGCTCAGTTGGTCAAGCATTGGCGCTTGTGATGCCAGGGTAGTGGGTTTGATTCCCGGGACCACCCATACGTAAAATGTATGCGCGCATACATGACTGTAAGTCGCTTAGGATAAAATGGTCTGCTAAATGGCAGATATATATATATATATATACACAGTGAGGAAAAAAAGTATTTAGTCAGCCACCAATTGTGCAAGTTCTCCCACTTTAAAAGATGAGAGAGGCCTGTAATTTTCATCATAGGTACACGTCAACTATGACAGACAAAATGAGAATTTTTTTCCAGAAAATCACATTGTAGGATTTTTATGAATTTATTTGCAAATTATGGTAGAAAATAAGTATTTGGTCAATAACAAAAGTTTATCAATACTTTGTTATATACCTTTTGTTGGCAATGACACAGGTCAAACGATTTCTGTAAGTCTTCACAAGGTTTTCACACACTGTTGCTGGTATTCTGGCCCATTCCTCCATGCAGATCTCCTCTAGAGCAGTGATGTTTTGGGGCTGTCGCTGGGCAACACAGACTTTCAACTCCCTCCAAAGATTTTCTATGGGGTTGAGATCTGGAGACTGGCTAGGCCACTCCAGGACCTTGAAATGCTTCTTACGAAGCCACTCCTTCGTTGCCCGGGCGGTGTGTTTGGGATCATTGTCATGCTGAAAGACCCAGCCACGTTTCATCTTCAATGCCCTTGCTGATGGAAGAAGGTTTTCACTCAAAATCTCACGATACATGGCCCCATTCATTCTTTCCTTTACACGGATCAGTCGTCCTGGTCCCTTTGCAGAAAAACAGCCCAAAAGCATGATGTTTCCACCCCCATGCTTCACAGTAGGTATGGTGTTCTTTGGATGCAACTCAGCATTCTTTGTCCTCCAAACACGACGAGTTGAGTTTTTACCAAAAAGTTCTATTTTGGTTTTATCTGACCATATGACATTCTCCCAATCCTCTTCTGGATCATCCGAATGCACTCTAGCAAACTTCAGACGGGCCTGGACATGTACTGGCTTAAGCAGGGGGACACGTCTGGCACTGCAGGATCTGAATCCCTGGCGGCGTAGTGTGTTACTGATGGTAGGCTTTGTTACTTTGGTCCCAGCTCTCTGCAGGTCATTCACTAGGTCCCCCCGTGTGGTTCTGGGATTTTTGCTCACCGTTCTTGTGATCATTTTGACCCCACGGGGTGAGATCTTGCGTGGAGCCCCAGATCGAGGGAGATTATCAGTGGTCTTGTATGTCTTCCATTTCCTAATAATTGCTCCCACAGTTGATTTCTTCAAACCAAGCTGCTTACCTATTGCAGATTCAGTCTTCCCAGCCTGGTGCAGGTCTACAATTTTGTTTCTGGTGTCCTTTGACAGCTCTTTGGTCTTGGCCATAGTGGAGTTTGGAGTGTGACTGTTTGAGGTTGTGGACAGGTGTCTTTTATACTGATAACAAGTTTAAACAGGTGCCATTAATACAGGATAACGAGTGGAGGACAGAGGAGCCTCTTAAAGAAGAAGTTACAGGTCTGTGAGAGCCAGAAATCTTGCTTGTTTGAAGGTGACCAAATACTTATTTTCCACCATAATTTGCAAATAAATTCATAAAAAATCCTACAATGTGATTTTCTGGATTATTTTTTCTCAATTTGTCTGTCATAGTTGACGTGTACCTATGATGAAAATTACAGGCCTCTCTCATATTTTTAAGTGGGAGAACTTGCACAATTGGTGGCTGACTAAATACTTTTTTTCCCCACTGTACATATATATATATATATATACTGTATATTATGGCTCTCTTTTTCTTACCGTCCATTTTCTGTCTCACTTTCTCTCTTTTCTTTTTTTACAATACTTTGTCTCTCTCTCTCTCTCTCTCTCTCTCTCTCTCTCTCTCTCTCTCTCTCTCTCTCTCTCTCTCTCTCTGAGCTGAAGCGACACCATCACTGCTGTGATGACAATGAGGCGGAGGCGGTTGTTCGCTAGACATGCCAGTGGGAAGCCCTCACTCCACCGTGCTTTAGCTCTGTCTTTCTACCCGCTCCTCCTTCCCTAATGGCTGGGGAGGGATGGGAATAACAGTCATCACGGAGGCATTTGAGTCGTTTCTTACAGAGACGGTCTTCAGAGAAATCCCACAGGGCTTTAGAGAGAGCAGAGAAAGAAGCTGAATGGAGAGAACGTGACAGAGTACAGGGACGGAGGGATAGAGTTAGAGAGGGAGGAAATGATGTCATGTGAGGATGTGTTCGTATATCTTAGAAAGAGACAGAGGGTGACAAACCAGGGTTGCAGATCAATGTGTACTGCGTACATTCAACATGTTATCTGTGAGCAGTACACCTGTAGATTGCCGATTAAACATGTTATCTTATCAAAACGTTCTCTGTTGTGTTGTTGCAGGTGTCTGACCGCTGTGTGGTGGCTCTGGTGCCCGAAACAGACCTCTTCCTACAACATCCCCCCATTAGCCAGCATCTCCAGGACCTCCATCAGCAGATATGGTGAGTACCATAGAGCGACATAGAAAATTATACATCTCTATGATAAGTACTGTACTGCCTTAGCTCCTCCCTCTTTTGGACCATTTCAAACAAACACCTGTTACATAATAGATTAACATGGGAAGAGGAGGGGAGGGGTTTGAGATAGAAGTGTTCACTGTGTAAGCCTATGGGAGCAGACCTGATAGAAAAATTAGACTTAGATTAGTTTGTAGACATTTTAGCAGACACTTTTGTCCAGAGCCACAATGTGAGCAACAATAAAATCCTCCTAGCTAGGACCAGCTCTGTTTGGAGCGTCTATGCTTTGCTGTGGAGGCATTGTTTACCGTACTCTCTCCTCCCGACAGTGTTTGCTGCAGTTTGCCTCAGCACAGATACTGCAGGGGTGGCAGAGGGATGGAGAGAAACAGGAACGGGGGGGATAGAGGGATGCAGGGAGAGAGGGGGAGAGTAGAGAAGGCCGATGGGAGACATGGAGAGAGGTGTTTGTTTTAACCATCAAGTATAATAATGAGGATGCCAGACTGAGCCTGGAGCCAGGGTATAATGGTCCGACACACAGACACACACACTGATGACAGTCACAGCGGTGATCCACAGGGTGTCCCATCTGGTCCCATGCCCAACCCCAGACACAGAGAACCGCATCCAACGGCAGTGTGTGATTGGGTAATTATTCACTGTGAATTATACTTTACACCAATGGGAAGTGAGAACGGAGCGTGGATGGACAATTATCAGGGCTGGGATTGAATGAGAACCCCCATAGGTTGTTGTCAGTCGCCTGGAGACCCTCCCTCTCTTCCACACACACACACACACACACACACACACACACACACACACAAAGTCACACACATACACACACTTCTCTCAACTAATTTACCAATAACAAAACCAACAGTATATTTCAAATTACCAACCTAAACTATCAAAACTAAGTTTGGTTCAGTGGCAGTGAGGCATACAGTATTCCGTCCTCAACAGTATTCCATTCACAACAGTATTCCTTCCTGAACAGTATTCCATTCTCAACAGTATTCCTTCCTGAACAGTATTCCATTCTCAACAGTATTCCTTCCTGAACAGTATTCCATTCTCAACAGTATTCCGTCCTGAACAGTATTCCATTCTCAACAGTATTCCTTCCTGAACAGTATTCCATTCTCAACAGTATTCCGTCCTGAACAGTATTCCATTCTCAACAGTATTCCGTCCTGAACAGTATTCCATTCTCAACAGTATTCCTTCCTGAACAGTATTCCATTCTCAACAGTATTCCGTCCTGAACAGTATTCCATTCTCAACAGTATTCCTTCCTGAACAGTTTTCCATTCTCAACAGTATTCCTTCCTGAACAGTATTCCATTCTCAACAGTATTCCTTCCTGAACAGTATTCAATTCTCAACAGTATTCCTTCCTGAACAGTATTCCATTCTCAACAGTATTCCTTCCTGAACAGTATTCCATTCTCAACAGTATTCCGTCCTGAACAGTATTCCATTCTCAACAGTATTCCGTCCTCAACAGTATTCCATCCTCAACTGTATTCCTTCCTGAACAGTATTCCATCCTCAACAGTATTCCTTTCTGAACAGTATTCCATTCTCAACAGTATTCCTTCCTGAACAGTATTCCATTCTCAACAGTATTCCTTCCTGAACAGTATTCAATTCTCAACAGTATTCCTTCCTGAACAGTATTCCATTCTCAACAGTATTCCTTCCTGAACAGTATTCCATTCTCAACAGTATTCCGTCCTGAACAGTATTCCATTCTCAACAGTATTCCGTCCTCAACAGTATTCCATCCTCAACTGTATTCCTTCCTGAACAGTATTCCATCCTCAACAGTATTCCTTCCTGAACAGTATTCCATTCTCAACAGTATTCCTTCCTGAACAGTATTCCATTCTCAACAGTATTCCTTCCTGAGCAGTATTCCATTCTCAAAAGTATTCCGTCCTGAACAGTATTCCGTCCTGAACAGTATTCCGTCCTGAACAGTATTCCATCCTCAACAGTATTCCGTCCTGAACAGTATTCCATCCTCAACAGTATTCCTTCCTGAACAGTATTCCATCCTCAACAGTATTCCTTCCTGAACAGTATTCCATTCTCAACAGTATTCCTTCCTGAACAGTATTCCATTCTCAACAGTATTCCTTCCTGAACAGTATTCCATTCTCAAAAGTATTCCGTCCTGAACAGTATTCCATTCTCAACAGTATTCCTTCCTGAACAGTATTCCATCCTCAACAGTATTCCATCCTCAACAGTATTCCATCCTCAACAGTATTCCATCCTGTTTTCATAGCTACAAGGGTTGCTTCAATCTGTTTTACTACAAAGAGCTTGTTGAATATTTTACCAAACTCATGAAATAGCAATGAGGCGGTGAATGGGGGTGTTCCTTTTTAGTGTGTGTTTGTGTGTGTGTGTGTGTGTGTGTGTTTTGTACTGCTTTAGAAAACAGCCGCTCCTCCTCTGGCTCCAGCCCGGTCCCCCATCAATCATAGCCTGGCACAGCGGGCACAGATGTGCCCAACACCCAGCTGATTGATTCATATCAATTTAACGTTCAGCACTTAGCATCTCGCCTCAATTTACCGTGCCAGCAGTCCCCCGCCCCCCAATAACCCGCTACACATTCCCCCCTGACGCCTCACAAACACACACACACACCTGCGGCCCTCACACCCACCTCAGGTAGCCTGAAGCCTGATACAGTGGTTACAGAGCTGAAGACAGAGGGAAGAGAGTAATCTGCCCCCCTGGAGAGGAAGGAGGAAAGAGAGGGGTAGGGACTTGACAGTGGCATAAGATGGGATTTGAGACCTCAATCCACCCCACTGTCACACAGAGATAGAGACATACACACACACCCTGCCAGGCCCAAAGGTCCCCAGGGGCCACCCTAAAGACCCTGTTCACTGCTGCTGGTCTTTAGAACATACCACTTAGAGACGAAAGTCGCTGTAGTGCTCTGGGGCATTGTTGTCCCGCGCTGCCCTTTGAAGCCAGGTGAGAGAGGTCTGACACTGATCTAGAGTCCCACGAGACCTCTCACAGACTCAAAATAGACATACACACACACTGCCGGGAAGGAAATAACTGCTAATTAGGAAGACTGTAGAGGAAGAGAGGAGGAAGAGCACCACTCCTTAGTGTCAAAGGAATGAGGGAACTGAGATGGGAAGGGGGGAGAGAAGAGAGGGCAGACAGGGGAGGATGGCTGGAGTGCTTTACATATTAGACATCTTTTGATACATTGATTAGGACTGTGACTGAGACCCTTACAGTATGGCGACTGCAGGAAAGAGACAATTATGATTCCTTATAAGAGGAGCTAAGGAGAGCCACGTCTCTCTCTCTCTCTCTCTCTCTCTCTGTCTCTCTCTCTCACACATCTATTCAGAGAGAGGGATGACATGAAAGAGAGAGCGAGAGGAAGAGAGAGAGACAGAGAGATGATATGCGAGTGAGAAAGAGTGATATGATAAGAGAGAGAGGGATGATATGAAAGAGAGAGAGAGGGGGAGCTGGGCTGACAGCTGCCCCTCCACTGTCTGGACTTAATGAAATATTAAAGAGGTGCATGGCTCCTTTCATCTTTGGTATTTTATTAGGATCCATCTAGTCTAGTGAAAGGGAGCTGCTCCTGCACTCCAGAGGCCAAACAGACACGTATCAACATCGACGGCCAGCAGACAGACACAGACCTGCAGGCAAATTAGAGCAGAGGTGTGTGTGTGTGTGTGTGTTACTATTGTATTTCCAAACTGAACAGGACAAGGGAAAAGAGCACAGAACCTGGAACATTTACAAGTGTCTAATTTATCTATTTTTCTCTCTCTCTTTCCCACTCTAGACTCATCCTTCCGGTACACAGGTAGTCCAGACAGTCTGCGTTCCCGTGCCCCTATGATAACCCCTGACCTGGAGAGTGGGGTCAAGGTGTGGCACCTGGTCAAGAACCACGAGCATGGAGACCAGAAGGAGGGAGACCGCGGCAGCAAGATGGTCTCTGAGATATACCTGACCAGGCTGCTGGCCACCAAGGTAACACCCGGCTTAAATACATTTTACATTTTAGTCATTTAGCAGACGCTCTTATCCAGAGCGACTTACAGTTAGTGAATACATATTTTTTTATACTGGCCCCCCGTGGGAATCGAACCCACAACCCTGGCATTGCAAACGCCATGCTCTATCAACTGAGCTACATCCCTGCCGGCCATTCCCTCCCCTACCCTGGACGACGCTGGGCCAATTGTGCGCCGCCCATGAGTCTCCCGGTCGCGGCCGGCTGCGACAGAGCCTGGATTCGAACCAGGATCTCTAGTGGCACAGTTAGCACTGCGATGCAGTGCCTTAGACCACTGCGCCACTCAGGAGTACATAGTAAATACTTCTTTATATACCAACATACTGCATTGTCTCTCCATATTTCAATTATACTACAGTAGTTTACTTTCAGTTCCTGTTGGTATGTTTACATACATTTTACAAAGTGTGGCTAGTGACAGACTTTTGTTTCCCTAGGTTCTTTCCTATTCATTGAGGAAATCAGTTGTTCAGTGAGTTCATGTATGTCTGAACTAGTGTGTCCATTGTTTTTACCCAGGGTACCCTGCAGAAGTTTGTGGACGACCTGTTTGAGACGTTGTTCAGTACCGTCCACCGAGGTAGCGCCCTGCCCCTCGCCATCAAATACATGTTTGACTTCCTGGACGAGCAGGCAGACAAACACGGCATCCACGACCAAGATGTCCGCCACACATGGAAGAGCAACTGGTGAGCAACCTGAAAGATGTAGAATAGGAATGATAGGATGGATCTATAATATGATGTATAATATAGGATGCAATGTGTATCATTGTGTATCACTTAGTTCTACAAAAGAGACATGACTCTAAACTTTATCATAGGACGATACACTGAGTCATCGGTTAGAAACATTCTAAAATATAACAGTACTGGATTCTGCCTGTCTGGAGTTATGAGCCTTAAGCTCCTCACTTGAGTGACCCAGAAAGAGGAGAGAAATACAGTACTGATAGTTGGTGGATTCTGGCTCCCAGAGTGTGAAGAAAAATATTGAGAGTGGATTCTGACTGACTCATTCCTTTGCCCTCTCTCTCCCCCCCCTCTTTACCTCCCTCTCTCTCTCTCCCCCGCTCTCTCTCCCCCTCTTTACCTCCCTCTCCTCTCTCTCCCTCTTTACCTCCCTCTCTCTCTCCCCCTCTCTCTCCCCCGCTCTCTCTCCCCCTCTTTACCTCCCTCTCTCTCTCCCCCTCTTTACCTCCCTCTCTCTCCCCCTCTTTACCTCCCTCTCTCTCCCCCTCTTTACCTCCCTCTCTCTCCCCTGCTCTCCCCCTCTTTACCTCCCTCTCTCTCTCCCCCTCTCTCTCCCCCTCTTTACATCCCTCTCTCTCTCCCCCTCTTTACCTCCCTCTCTCTCTCTCTCTCCCCCTTTTTCCCCCCCCCCCGCTCTCTCTCAGTCTTCCACTGCGGTTCTGGGTGAACGTGATCAAGAACCCCCAGTTTGTGTTTGACATACACAAGAGCAGCATCACGGATGCCTGTCTGTCTGTGGTGGCCCAGACCTTCATGGACTCCTGCTCCACGTCAGAGCACCGCCTGGGCAAGGACTCGCCCTCCAACAAGCTGCTCTACGCTAAAGACATCCCCAACTACAAGAGCTGGGTAGAAAGGTAAGAGTGAGACACCAATATACATTTTCAACAGTGAAGAGGCGACTCCAGGATGCTGACCTTCTAGGCAGAGTTGCAAAGAAAAAGCCATATCTCAGACTGGCCAATAAAAATAAAAGATTAAGATGGGCAGTCTGAGATATGGCTTTTTCTTTGCAACTCTGCCTAGAAGGTCAGCATCCCGGAGTCGCCTCTTCACTGTTGACGTTGAGACTGGTGTTTTGCTGGTACTATTTAATGAAGCTGCCAGTTGAGGACCTGTGAGGCGTCTGTTTCTCAAACTAGACACTCTAATGTATTTGTCCTCTTGCTCAGTTGTGCACCGGGGCATCCTACTCCTCTTTCTATTCTAGTTAGAGCCAGTTTGCGCTGTTCTGTGAAGGGAGTAGTATACAGCGTTGTACGAGATCTTCAGTTTCTTGGCAATTTCTCGCATGGAATAGCCTTCATTTCTCAGAACAATAATAGACTGACGAGTTTCAGAAGAAAGTTATTTGTTTCTGGCCATTTTGAGCCTGTAATTGAACCCACAATTGCTGATGCTCCAGATACTCAACTAGTCTCAAGAAGGCCAGTTTTATTGCTTCTTTAATCAGCACAACAGTTTTCAGTTGTGCTAACATAATTGCAAAAGGGTTTTCTAATGATCAATTAGCCTTTTAAAATGATCAACTTGGATTAGCAAACACAATGTGCCATTGGAACACAGGACTGATGGTTGCTGATAATGGGCCTCTGTACGCCTATGTAGATATTCCATTAAAAATCAGCCGTTTCCAGCTACAATAGCCATTTACAACATTAACAATGTCTACACTGTATTTCTGATCAATTTGATGTTATTTTAATGGACAACAAAATTGCTTTTCTTTAGAAAACAAGGACATTTCTAAGTGACCCCAAACTTTTGAACGGTAGTGTACATTTTTCAAACATTTTCCATCCTGAAAATTAGGAATAAGCAATGGCTTTGAATTCTGGTCAAACAGATGGAAAAGGGGTCTTAGAAATCATCTACCAGAAAAAGTCTTAAAAGGTATTAGAAATACATCAAAACACAATAATGTTGAACTGAAGACCCCTGCCAACTAATATCAACACTTATATGTAGTTTCTGAGAAAATTTTCTGCCTTCTTTTAAGTTTAAGAAACATTGCTTTGTGCCTTGAAATTCTGCTACCTAAAACCCACATATCTTTAAGATATTTTCTAATTTGTCTCCCTCATGAGGAGGGAGGATAATGAAAGTTCACAAAAGTAACAAGTAAAGGTAGACCTATCAATTAGCTATAGTGTTTTTACTGATATCAATTATTTAGTGATCGAATTTCTGAAAAATTGGTAACGGAATTTATGCAATTGAATTGGATACAATTGGAAATCATAGTAGTCACAAATCACAGTTGGGTTCACAAGTTTGGACAGCACAGCACAGTATAGTACAGCACAATAGAGTACAGTAAAGAAAAGTATAGTTCAGTACTGTGCAGTTAGGTAGAGTTCAGTACAGTACACAGTAGATCACACTATAATGTACTGTATTGTACTGTACTATACTCTACTACTGAACTGTACTGTGCTCTACTGTACTCTATTGTACTGAACTCTACTTTACTGTGCTGTACTTTGATGTCCAAACTTGTGAAACATAGACGTCTGTAATTGGTTCAGATTTGGTCCGATCCTGACCAACCAAATTTGGTCTTGTTTGGGGGCAGAGCTCATTAAAATAATAGCAAGTGTGTAGAATAATACCCAAATATGCAAAGGAGGATATGGCATATCTATCTATACCTTTGTGTACCTACAGTATTTAGGATACATCATCATGAAGAAAATCCATAATTGCATTTCTGTGTACAGATCAGGGACCCATGTTGAAATTCCTTTACCACAATTCTGTTACCGGGTGTAAATCCACTTCACTTACTGTAGTTCAATAACCAAAATAGATGTTTTCAAAGTCAATGTGTCATGTCATAGATGACACCACATTCTTTCTGCAGACATCGATGAATCATAATTCGGAGCAGGTATTTAAGAGTTTTTCGAAAAAACGTGGACACATAGAAAACTGAGGGAGATTTTACAAAAATTATGTTACTAAACTTAGCATTTTGCACAGTTCTTCCAGTAAATGTGTTTTTGTAAAATGTTGTGTAAATTGTTAAAAGTAGTCCTTGTGCATAGAGTTTTATATTATTAAAAAATTGAAATCAATGGTTTTTGTTTGGCATACATTGTAATTAAAACATCTGAGTCTCAGCACAATTCTGTTATTGTGGAATTGCCCACATACAATTCTATATCCTTGTTTTCTTACCCCTCACACAAACTGTTCTGGTCCTGGATACACTTGCCGTATATTAAGTATTACATATGTACTCGTAAAATGTGACTAATATGTAGAAAATGAGCCTCAACTTTCCAGTAAAGCATTTTGGTATAGAATGTGTGGTCTCTGTGCATGTTGATACTGAGTGTCGCCCCCTGTATGTGCCTCCAGGTACTATGCCGACATTAACCGTCTGCCAGCCATCAGTGACCAGGACATGAATGCCTACCTGGCAGAGCAGGCCAGGCTCCACTCCACAGAGTTTAACATGCTCAGTGCTCTTAACGAGATCTACTCCTATGTCTCCAAATACAGCGAGGAGGTGAGTCCTTACACACACATACATTGGGGGAAAAAAGTATTTAGTCAGCCTTAGACCACTGCGCCTGCTCTAGAGGAGATCTGCATGGAGGAATGGGCCAAAATACCAGCAAAAGTGTGTGAAAACCTTGTTAAGACTTACAGAAAACGTTTGACCTGTGTCATTGCCAACAAAGGGTATATAACAAAGTATTGAGAAACGTTTGTTATTGACCAAATACTTATTTTCCACCATAATTTGCAAATAAATTCATAAAAAATCCTACAATGTGATTTTCTGGATTATTTTTTCTCAATTTGTCTGTCATAGTTGACGTGTACCTATGATGAAAATTACAGGCCACTCTCATCTTTTTAAGTGGGAGAACTTGCACAATTGGTAGCTGACTAAATACTTTTTTCCCCCACTGTATAGACACACACACACACACACACACACACACACACACACACACACACACTGCAGTGATAGGCATTCTAATAACAGGCTTCACTCAAGGCTAGTTAAAGGTCATTCCTAACTCATTTAGAGTGTTTCTACAACTTTCAGAAAGGCCAAGAGTTTCTCTGATCTGATGGTATTCTTCAAAATAACCATACACCCCACTCCACCACATCACATAACCCACCCGAAGTGCCATATGTCCCGGGCCAGTGAGAGCTGTAGCAGACCTGACTGTGGGTGTATGATATGTGGGGGAGAGACAGGAACAGCGGCTGTACAAGCAGCTCAGCATGCCGCTCCATCCCCTGAGTGGTGTGAAGGAACACAGTCCTGTTCTCTCCCTCTCTCTCTCTCTCTCTCTCTCTCTCTCTGTGGCTCTCTGGAGCAGAATCAAGACGTGGCAGACCATTTGTCTCAGATCACAGGGAGAGTGGAGAAGGGGGTTGAGGGAAAGAGAGAGAGAGAGAGGGGGGAGAGAGATGGAGAGACAGAAAGAGAGTTAGCGGCAGAGACAGACAGAGAATGAGGGAGGGCAAAGTGAGAGAGAAAGGGAGGAAAAGAGAGAGGGAGAAAGATTAAGGGAGGAGGAGAGAAAGAGAGAGAAGGATTAAGGGAGGAGGAGAGAGAGAGAAAAAGAGAGAGAAAGATTAAGGGAGGAGGAGAGAGAGAGAAAAAGAGAGAGAAAGATTAAGGGAGGAGGAGAGAGGGAGAAAGAGAGAGAAGGATGGGATAGTGCGACAAAGAAGAGACGGAGAGAGGTGAAACAAGGTGGAGAAAGAGAAGGAGAGAGAAGACAGAAAGAGAAAGGGTTCTGTAATGGAGACGTTCCGGCTGTAATGTCAGCAGCTCCTCTGGGAGCCATTAGTCTGACCTTTATATTAGACCACATTTACAAGACTTAGGAGCCCACTCTATTCTCTCTCTCTCGCTTTCTTTTCTTTTTTATCTATCCCTCTTCCACTCGCTCTGTTTCTCTCTTCTATCTCTTCTTTCCTTCCTGCCCTAAGAGCTTGACGCTGCTGTAGCTAGAACTAGCACTCACTTCTAACCCTCTCTCTCAACCTCTCAGAGACCACCTCTTTAACTCTCTCTCTCAACCTCTCAGAGACCACCTCTTTAACTCTCTCTCTCAACCTCTCAGAGACCACCTCTTTAACTGCCACTCTCTATCCTGCACTTTCTTCTCGCTTTGTATCTTCTTTTACCTCATGCTCCTTCCCCACTCTAGCTTTCTTTCGTTCTCACACACACACTCATGCCCTCTCTCTGTCTCTCCTCTCCCTGTCTCTTGAGTGCTTAGGCCCTTATCTGTAGCTGTCAGGGTTGTTTGTTCCTTGCCTGGCTCCTTGTGCGGCCCCTCTATGAACGGGCTAGCGCAATACTAAATGGATTAGGGAGGGAGGGAGGGAGCTGCACCTGCATACAGCACAGCATATTAATAACTGAGTGGTATGAGGAGGAGGAGAGGCTCCGCTGGGCTCTGCTCTGCCAGCCTCTAAGAGTACTTAGGCAGATGAGAGCGAGACAACAGGCAGGGAGTCTACTATGGGACAGATTGCTGGAGCTACAGTGGCTTGCGAAAGTATTCACCCCACTTGGCATTTTTCCTATTTTGTTGCCTTACAACCTGGAATTAAAAAATGTTGGGGGTTTGAATCATTTGATTTACACAACATGCCTACCACTTTGAAGATATAAACAAACAAGACAAAAAAACAGAACACTTGAGCGTGCATAACTATTCACTAACTAATTTCCCTATATTTAGCGCCATCCATCATTCCTTCAATTCTGACCAGTTTCCCAGTCCCTGCCGATGAAAAACTTCCCCACAGCATGATGCTGCCACCACCATGCTTCACTGTGGGGATGGTGTTCTCAGGGTGATGAGAGGTGTTGGGTTTGCGCCAGACATAGCGTTTTCCTTGATGGCCAAAAAGCTCAATTTAAGACTCATCTGACCAGAGTACCTTCTTCCATATGTTTGGGGAGTCTCCCACTTGCCTTTTGGAGAACACCAAACGTGTTTGCTTATTTTTTTTCTTTAAGCAATGGCTTTTCTCTGGCCACTCTTCCGTAAAGCCCAGCTCTGTGGAGTGTATGGCTTAAAGTGGTCCTATGGACAGATACTCCAATCTCCGCTGTGGAGCTTTGCAGCTCCTTCAGGGTTATCTTTGGTCTCTTTGTTGCCTCTGATTAATGCCCTCATTGCCTGGTTCGTGAGTTTTGGTGGGCGGCCCTCTCTTGGCAGGTTTGTTGTGGTGCCATATTCTTTCCATTTTTTTATAATGGATTCAATGGTGCTCCGTGTGATGTTCAACGTTTCGGATATTTTTTTATAACCCAACCCTGATCTGTACTTCTCCACAACTTTGTCCCTGACTCGTTTGGAGAGCTCCTTGGTCTTCATGGTGCTGCTTTCTTGGTAGTGCCCCTTGCTTAGTGGTGTTGCAGACTGGGGCCTTTCAGAACAGATGTATATATACTGATATCATGTGACAAATCATGTGACACTTAGATTGCACACAGGTGGACTTTATTTAACTAATTATGTGACTTCTGAAGATAATTGGTTGCACCAGATCTTATTTAGGGGCTTCATAGCAAAGGGGGTGAATACATATGCACGCACCACTTTTCCGTTATTATTTTTTTTGAATTTTTGAAACAAAGTATTTTTTTCATTTCACTTCACCAATTTTGACTATTTTGTGTATGTCCATTACATGAAATCCAAATAAAAATAAATTTAAATTACAGGTTGTAATGCAACAAAATAGGAAAAAATGCCAAGGGGGATGAATACTTTTGCAAGGCACTGTATGTACAGACTGCCAACAGACCCTAAGAGGAACTTCAGTAATGTCCCCACAGTGTGTTTAGCACAATGCCTAGTTATGGCAACAGTTTATTGGCAGCCCTTATTCTTCTTCAATGAACCACTGTTCACATACAATACATTTCTGTCATATAGAAAAGGTAGAGATTTGCTGCATTAGCATTGATCCATACCTTTGATCGATGTCACTGTGTGGCATGTGGCCCATACCTGTGATCTTATTGGGTATTATTTATCCTGTTTGATACAAGCACATGAAAAAGCGCCGCCAGCCACCGCGGTGTCACGCTGATGTACATACAGCGTGTCGTGACTCTGTGTGACACTGCAGACAGCAGAGAGGAGACCTTGTCGGATTCCCCTTTGAACAAGACTTGACAAATGCCACGTTTACTGAGAGAAAAGCATAAGTTGAAACCGAGAAAGGGCATTATACAAGTTGGATTCCTCGGTTTTGTGCTACCATCTCCAACAGAGACAATGTTATATTCATGAAATAAAAAGCACACATGATCTCACCCATCCAACAGACAGTGAAGTCTGGACCTGTTGCGTGCTGACTGGCACAGACCAGAGTCATATATGAATACTTTATTAAAGTCATTCCTTACCATTCAGTCAACATTGGCTATGTTGTACAGATGTAATTCAGCATTATATGAGCATACTTTAAGCCACCAGCAATTGTCTATTTGTTCTATTTGACATTTTCTTGCAAAAGATTTGCATATGAAGGGTCTTTGCAATTGATGGAGTCCCTGCATGTGGCTTCCGGGTTAGACAACACTAAATCATGTTGTTGTTCTCTCTCTAACCCCTCCCAGATCACCATGGCCCTGGAGCAGGACGAGCAGGCTAGGAAACAGCGTCTGGCCTACAAGGTGGAGCAGCTCATCTCAGCCATGTCCCTGGAGAGTTGAGACAGACCACGGGATTAGACGACTGGACCGGCCAGGGATGTCCATCAGCCACCCAACCAACAGTCCCGATACTCACCATGGGAGGGACAACTAACCACCACGGACCTGGGACCTTTTAAATCCAGAAACAAAGAGTTTAGTTTTTATCTTATTTTCCTCTCATGCCATATTGCTGCCACCTGACTAAAAGCCTCCATAGTCTCTGGAAACATGGATGGTGATGACACCACATACCTCCATAAAGGCTACATGGCATCATTCTTTCCAAAGGATATCATTTTAGTGATGTGTGTATAGCCCTGAAGGAGAGATATGTTGAGAGACAGAACAAACAGAGGGGAGATGTTATAGTCAGATACACTCTCTCTGTCTGCTCAAAACTCACATCAGAGACGCTGAAAGAAGAAGAGAGAGATGGAGGATAAAGACTTCTCATGTTTGATTCCAGAGATATTGTTGCTGAGTTTTGCTTCCAAATTTGTATTTTTGTATGTGTACATTTTGATTTTATTGGTTGCAGTTGAGACATCTTCCTCTTGATACATATATGGACATTGTTGTACTGTACAAAGTCAAAGTCATAGGTTGTGTTATAACATGTGTTATAGGGTGGTGTGGCCATCAGAAAGACATGTCTTGTCCTCTGTTCTCCTCAGATATAATTACCATTCATTATCAACATGATACTCCAGACCAAGTGGACAGAACCCATCTCTGACTGTAACCCATCAGGCCTGTACAGAAACCAACCAAACGCATCCTCATCGTACGAGAGCAAACAGAACTCAGAACAGACCTCCTCTGAAGGGGTCAAAGTTCAACCAGCATGCTTATCGACCCCAAACCCCTTTACTCTGTGTGATAAGAGAAAATCCACAGGTCCACAGAGTATGTAGGGTATAAGGATAAAACAACAACCAGCACCATACTGGTTTGTATAAGAACCTCCTCAGCTGAAACGTAATCTGTATGTACTGTAGGTTGTTTTATACATGTCAATGTATGTGAATGTACAAAAGCAGGTGTGGATTTTTTTTTTTCGTTTGGGTTTGTTTTCTAAACAAAACGCAGTCAGTTGAACAGAACTCTATAAATGGCTAAATCGATGGCCAACTGAACATGTATCCGTCCTAGTCCCTTTGCCCTCTCACAATTGTTTTACCTGTTACCAAATCTCTATCTCTACCATAGGAGGGTGTGTACTATACAAGTCTGTATTGTAGCCGTCATTGTCGTGGCTACACTGCCCTTAACGAACAAATACCATAATATACTGGAGACTAGATTCTAGAGTCCTGCCAATATGGGGACTGAGGCCGTCCAGCCGGCGGCGGCAGTAGTGAAAACACTCCATAATATAACCACTGTTTGTATCGCTTTTGGGGATCGGATCAAGTGTGTGTGTAAAACTTGCATGCATCGTATCACATCAGAAGAAGTGTTTTCAAAGTCCATCTTTGTTTTTTTAAGTGCCAATGGATCAGGCTAGCTGGAGATGGCCAGCAGCTAAATGTTAGCAGACGTTAGTTTTCTACCCAACTACTACACCAACAACGTCTTTCTAAAAGACAGCACGAAGAAGCCTGTGTGGGTCTAGTTTGAGTAAGTGCCAAAAGATCCTGTCGTTTTAAATGATTCACTGGTGTCCAAATCGGTTAATGCTTTACAGAGGGAGCCAGCCAAGCCCTCAAACTGAAGTAGAGTCTGTAGAGAGGTGCTCATGTAACTGGAAGCTTGTGAACAGGCAGCAGGTATGAAGGAAGGTACTGTAGAAGGCTCAGGAGAGCGACAACTCAGTATAATAGTTACTTGCCCTTTTTTGTTTTGGGCAAGAAGAAAATATCTCAACCGCAAGCATGGACAAAAGAGGATATAACTGTCAAACATAATGCATGTTACATTACCAGGTAGATCTTTGGTAAGATTGGATTGTCCTGTACCAAACTAAACCCATTCATGAAAGGATATATAGACTGACTTCCAGTGAGGAATAAGAGGGAACCTTACATGTACTTGTCATAGCTGGATGACCATATACTGTAGATTCGACCTTCTGGATTAGTGACCACCACCATTGTGTTTTCTCCAGACTTCGATGTTTGCTCATTGTTTACATCAAGTACTTGAAACTAGATAGTATTAAAGGTGTACAGTATAATTACATTATTTATGGATGGAGAAAATATAACACCAATGTTGATGGATGAAAGGTGCTTATTATTTTTTCTGTGGCCTTAGAACTCCAAATGAACCAACCATAAAACCACTGAGTTCTCCTGATTCTTGTTCACCACTTCAACACTAATCTGCAGCCTCTGTCGGCTCCATTTTGTTGAATTTGACACTGTCCTTTTGATAAGGTACCTGGCCTGCCACGGTGTGTAAAGAAGTGAAAGGAAAGGTGAAGAGGGTATGACCTGGTACTGTACAGGCAGGTGGGCGGTGATTCAGTCGTCTCGCCAGAGCTGTTTGAAGAGTAGAGCTCAGTCAGAAATGAGAGAGAGAAACCCCTTTATAAAAAATAAAAAAATTGTACTTTTTCTCCCCAATTTCGTGATATCCAATTGGTAGTTACAGTCTGGTCCCATCGCTGCAACTCCCATGCGGACTCAGGAGAGGCAAAGGTCGAGAGCCATGCGTTCTCCGAAACATGACCCTGCCAAGCCGCACTGCTTCTTGACACACTGCTCGCTGAACCCGGAAGCCAGCCGCACCAATGTGTCGGAGGAAACACCGTACAACTGGCGACCACGTCAGCGTGCATGTGCCCGGCCTGCCACAGGAGTCACTAGAGCGTGATGGGACAAGGACATCCGGCCAAACCCTCCCCTAACCCGGACGACGCTGGGCCAATTGTGCGCCGCCTCATGGGTCTCCCGGTCGCGGCTGGCTGCAACACAGCCCAGGATCGAACCCAGATCTGTAGTGATGCCTCAAGCACTGCGATGCAGTGCCTTAGACCGCTGCACCACTCGGGAGGCCCTGAGAAACCCCTTTAGCACTAGTTTCCTGCTTTGAAGCAGTGCTTTGATCTGAGTGTAGTTGTGTGATCAGGAGATAGATGAGAAAACACATCAAAACTGGTAAAGAGAAATGCAGGGAGACCACATGATTGGCATGGTATTAATGTCTCCAGCTAAGGGGGGTGGATGGGTATAGGGCGAGAGAGGGGGCTGTCTGTTGGCCCCCTGGTAAGCAGTAACTGCTCCTGCCCAATACAAATACTGTGTCTATAGGTACGCTCTAAATATACACACAGACACTCATGCTCAAATATACCTTGTATATTCCATGTGATGAAACTTTCCCCCTATACTGTCTGTCTTACACTATATTCGCCATAGTAGTAACGGATTAAAGGCCCAAGGCAGCCGTTTTTATCTCAATATCAAATCATTTCTGGGTAACAATTAAGTACCTTACTCAATCAAAATGGTCAAAAAGAAAACAAAATAACTTCTAACAAAAGCAATTTCTCAAGCAAGAATTTTGCTAGGATTGTCTGGGAGTGGTCTGAGTTGGGAGGGGGAAACTGAAAACTAGCTGTTATTGGCAGAGAGGTTTGGAACTCTTTCTTATTGGTCTATTAACCAATTTCCCACCTGGTGATGTCACAGGCAGGCCAAAACCAACACGTTTTTGTCTGCACTGGGCCTTTAAAGGAAAAAATAGGGATTTGACTTGAACAAAGTTTGCTTTTCTCTCGAGGGATCTTTATTTTATGCTCTGTTTTTGATTTGTCTTCATTTTCATAAACTACCATTCACTGTTTTTGCATCACTGTTCTTAAAATTCTGAATCCAACCTTGTCTTCTGGCCAGCATGCCATAACACCATTATATTACTAGTCTAAAAGGAAATAATTTCTCACATCGTATTATTCCTTAAATCTTAACTCACATCTGTCTGCATCTTCTTCCATTTTGTTTTGTGAAAGAGATTTTAATTGATTTTAACAGATTGATTTCATACTATACACTTTTGTATTTCTTGGGAGATGATGACATTCAATGAGAAATGAAAAGGTTACGTTTTTATAATTATGTTTCGTTTACCATTCTGCAGCGCATAATTTAATTTCACAGCCAGTTAGTGGTCTCTGAGACATGTTGCAGTTGATACACGTTGGCGATAGAATATTATTAAACGGCAACTTCATTTCCACTACAGAAGAGATAGGACCTAATTGAAGAAGATTGTGCACGTTTCTGCTCTTGGCGCTGTAGGTGATGTATTGATGTGTTTACTGGCAGGTTTCATTACTTACAGAAAAACAAGATAATTATTCACCTTTTTTATTTTCTCATGATGTCAGTCGGAGGAATTGAAAATCAGATTAGTATTATTCTCTTCATGTCAAAAATATCACAGAATATTAAATGTGTCCTTCTTCCATTCTTAACACAACACAATGTAGACAACCCTTTGTAGACACTGGAGCTCTGTAATATAGTCAATACAAATGATGACGATGAGAATAATAATAATGGCTGTCCTTGTTGTTTGATAAAAGTGTTGTGAAAATTGTAAGAAAGTTAAAAGTATTTAAAGAAGTTGTTCTTGTTTTTTTTATTTGCTTTGGTTTTGTTATGATAATATATTATTGTGTACCTATTGTAAATATGAAGCACACCTATTTTGCAAGCCAAGGATTCACTTTGTACTGTTGTTATATATAAATAAACTTTGCTGGTTAAAAAACACAGAGCTGAAATACACTGCCTTGTCTGATTGAAATGAGAAGAAACAAACTGCCTCCGAGGATCAGACTAGGAGAATCCTGGGCAAGCATACTGTATGCGTTAGCTACAGTACAACAGATAGAGGTAGTCAGAAGTGGGAGATATTAGGGCAGGGAATTGCCAGGGACCTCACAATACGATATTATCATTATATGTAGGTGCTGATACGATATGTATTGTGATTCTCACGATTCTATATGTATTGGCCCAGTACATCACTGGGGCCAAGCTTCCTGCCATCCAGGACATACAGTGAGG